AAGCACTAAAAGGAGGTCAGCTCAGTTCAAGAACCCCAAAAAAACCCAGAACAACAAGCGCGAGGGCAAAATTTAAAAGAAAACGAAATTTTAACCCTTTTTTTTTTTTTTTTGAACCAAAAGTTAAAAAAAACCCCAGAGGGAAGAAAAAAAACCGCCGGGATGGGGGCCGGAAAAACAGAAGGATGGCGGAACTAAAAGGGGGGCCGAGAAACGCAAAATCTAGAACCACGAGTTGCCCCAAACCTGAAATCAAAAAATTAGGGGGCGGTGCTAGAGCTAAAGAAGTTGATGGCCTTACAGGTCGAAAAAAAAAGCTCCCCAATTAACAATCTTACCCCCACCCAGACGAATAAAGAACCGAAAAATCATCCAGGACCAATAAATTTTCCGGAAAATTTCCAACGAAACAGAAACACGGAAAATTTTTTGGGGCTTTGGCCTTCCCAGAATGGATTCCACAGGGGAAATATACTGGAGGCAGAGTCCGCGGGGAAAGCGAACAGCCGGCCGAATCAGAACATAAACATGCCATCACCGCACAAATATTTCCCGTCAACCACAAATCCAGTAGCCAATAAAACCCAACAGCTGACAACACCAAAGCCAAACCGCACAAGCCACCATGACAGCTGAACAACCCCGCCCACCAGCCGGAGAAACCTGACCGCCCACAACAAGACGACACGATGCCCACCGTCAAAGCCACTCCCACCTCAACCCGATCCAGGCCGTCCAAAAGCTATGGTCCGCCCTTTTTAGGGCAGACCGAGATCCCTTACCTCACCCTGACAGCAGCAACAAACCCTCAGGCGTAATACGATCGCCGCACAGAAGCGTCAATAACTGGAGAAAGAACTCTAGACAACAAAACACCGCCTTGATATAACCAACGCTCAATCTGCCGGTTGAAAGAGGCAAGAAGTTTTTTTTTTTTACCAACACCAGTTACCAGTCAGCAGACCTTCTTCTTATCGCCGATGTCATACACACACTGAAGATGTCTACAGTCCCGACCCGTTGGGTGTACATGACTAGAAACAACGAGGTGGTGAAATCTTTGGCGCTGGCTTAAACGCTGTTTCAGTCTCGCTATATACAAGGACACCCGCACTCCACTTGAGACGTTTCTTTGGCCAGGCAGATCTCAAATTTCCCACCAAAAAGGAACTGACACTAAGTCGCCTAGAAGTTAAGCAACTATTTGACCTAAAGTCGGAAATCCTGACAGAGTTTGATCGGCTGGAGTTGCTAACCGTTCCTTGTTATCCGCCTACAACCAGGATTACGGAAACCTAAGCTGACGAGAACAGCCCCATCGACAACACGGACGAATATACACCGGATCCTGTTATCCGACACATTGAGACTGTCGAGAACAACCGACCAACTTTGCTTTTATGAATAAAAGAAAAATAAAACGCAGAATATTGTTGTGTTGTTATTTTTTGTCTTAGTTATAAATATTGTTTGGTTTTTATGTATATATCCATCTTATACACGTCTAGCCATCTATCCACAGCTATCTATTAGTCAACAATTTATGAAACAGAAAGTAACCAAGGACACTAACTGTTTAATGTTACTCAGACAACGACAGTTTATGACGACGCGGATGATGATGATGATGGTGCCCAAGTCCCACTTTCTCATATATCCCCGGTCATCAAGCCACCTTCCTAGGTTTCTTTATCTAAACCCTAAAACGGCCCCTTCTGCCGCCTATAAGTCTATTTTCACATCCCCTAAATTGTTTCGTTTTATAAACATATAAGTATATATATATATATATATATCTATATATATATATATATATATATATATATATATATATATATATATATATATATATATATATATATATATATATATATATATATATATATATATATATATATATATGCCCCGCTAACAAACCACTCCTAACTTTGTCTATTACAGAACTCATAAACCAACACCAACCGTTTTAGTCGCCCTGTCGCCCCGGGTGCCTTGCCGCGCCCGCCCCGCTGCTCACCGATGTCAGGTAAGCCCCTTCTCTTCTGCCCTTAACACTATGACAAGACAGCTACCCTTCTGTCGTATGTCCTCCTTTTTACTACAGCTCAAACCATCCCTTTGATACCATTAATCAGATGATGATGATGGCGCTCGAGTCGCCCTTTCTAATATATCCTCGGTCATCAAACCGCCTTCCTAGGTTTCTTTATCGCAAGTCTAAAACGACCCCTCTGCCGGCTGTCACTGCTGCCTATGTCTATTTTCATATCCCCTAACTTGTTGTAATATATATATCCCCGCTAACCAACCACTCCTAATTTTGTCTATTACAGAACCCACAAGCCCGCGCCGACTCTATTAGTCGCCCTGTCGCCCCTGCCCCACCCACCCTGCTGCTCACCTAAATATTGGTCCTAACGTCGCCCTTTATATAACGCCACCTGTCACCTGCAGTTATGAAGATAATAATGCGCCTGCAAAGTATCGCTTTTCCGACCTGAGCAACAATACACTAGAGAAATATCCTTAAATCACTCCAACTAAAAACACATATACCCCGATGTACCAACAATGTGTCACGCGTTGCTATGGAGACAACATATCGATTTATGCACCATATGTCTTTTCCCGCCCGGGAAAACCAGTCACACGTGCCGTCACCAACCGCTACGCCCCTTTATCAAACAGCTGGCCCTGCACTAAAGAAATATTTGCCTTTCCCCGTAAGAAAATACCCCGGGAGAGACAAAGTATAGATTTCCTATACTTTTCCCTAAAACCAATCACTTGTGCTGTCATCAGCCGCCCGATTGATATTTACTAAGGATAAAGAGGGCGGCTGCCTGATCAATATTTACTAAGGATAAAGAACAGCTGCCAGAAAAAACCAATCACTTATGGCCGCCATCTTCTACTAAGGATAAAGAGGGATCGATTTCCGAAATGCGGCCCGTAAACGACTTATACACTACTATGGAGACAAAATAGCCACTCTGATTTTGATTTAGTTTATTGAACTTTTGGCACTGTCAAATGTTCTTATCTCATCTATGATTTGAGAAACGGAGACAGATAGTTGATCTTTTTTGACAGCTGGCAAGAGACTTGGTACTAAATGTGACCCCTGCTATCAGCAGCAGAAGAGAAGAGGATATGTAGAAGGTCATGTGATGGCAGTCACATGATGCCCCCGGCAATCATTATGACCTAATCATCGCCAGTTATCCCACAACTGTCTCATAGGGCAGCCACAGGTTGGACACCTGGTGTGGGTCGTAGTGGTCCAGCACTTGAGTCATGTTGATGTCTTGGAAAAACTCTAGGCGGTGGCTGAAAATAGCAAAAGTCATGAACATTTCGGACATTGGTAACAATCAGCCAAAGAAGACAACATTTCCTACAAAAAATAAAATAAAAAGCACAACAGTTAGAGATAATTTTTTTTTTTCGTTTCGGGTTTTGTCATACAACAGCACAGAAAAAAAAAGGAAGAAATGTTTTCCCCATGGGTCCTTTATGTGGCACTGAAAAAAATCTTTAAAAAGTCAAATAAAAGGTTAAGGAAACAAATTGATCCTGTCAGGCAAGGAGAAGAGTGATCGACTTTGCTGAGCTGCTTGAGCACAGAACCAGTTCCACCACCAGGCCTGCAGACATGACTATAGTATTCATCATTTGATCTTTATCAACTTTTTTTTTTCACAAGGGAACAAATCCAGTGAATCCAAATGCATTCACACTACACACAGGAACAAGGCTAGGAATTCAGCAGCATTCACACTACACAAAGGAACAAGGCTAGGAATTCAGCAGCATTCACACTACACAAAGGAACAAGGCTAGGAATTCAGCAGCATTCACACTACACAAAGGAACAAGGCTAGGAATTCAGCAGCATTCACACTACACACAGGAACAAGGCTAGGAATTCAGCAGCATTCACACTACACAAAGGAACAAGGCTAGGAATTCAGCAGCATTCACACTACACAAAGGAACAAGGCTAGGAATTCAGCAGCATTCACACTGTATCAGGGAAACAGGCAAGTGAATTACACTGACTCTTCTGTAAAAGAAAACAAAGTTAGTGGGTCCAACTGATTCCCTCTGTAAAAATAAAAAAAATAAAAATAAAAAAGGCAAAGAATTCAGCTGCATTCACAAGGGAACAAAGCAAGCTAAAATAAACAGTTTGCATCTACACAAGGAAAAGCCGGAATGATCATTAAGCACACTGAGCACGTGCTTAGAGCATCACAAAGGACGGGTCACCACATAAACTGTCAATAACTTTGGATCTGAGCTTTGACTTTTTTAGTTAAAGTGTTTTTAAAAAAAAAAAAAAAAAAAAAAAAGAAATACCAGAACAACAGTGCAACAAGGCAGGCTGGTCAGTAAAGAAGCAGATGTGTTACATTAGATTTTGAGGATCTAATTTAAGTCTTTGCAATAAAAAAAAAAGTTGGAGAAAACTGTTCAGAAATAAATAAAGTGGAAGTAAACAAAAATAGACAGTACTTTCCACCTTGCTGCGTTTGGTTTAATTTCGCTAAATACACTTGTAATGGTTTGTGTTTATTTTGAATGACATATATATGGGGGTCCCAGGGCCACATTAACATATGACCCCTAAGCCCTTTCCTGGGTGGGGCGCACCAGCAAATGGAGCCCACCCTAATCTGTGTATGTCAAGGGGTAATTTACATATAATTCACGTGAGTGGTTGTGGTAGAGGCCTAAGGGCAAATAATGCTGGTAAGGCTGCTTTGGTACAGGGGCACAAACCACGTGAATTATGCTGCATTTACACTGTACACGGAAACAAATCAAGAGAATTCAACTGTATTTACACTGTAGAATGAAACAAATCAAGATAATTCAGCTGTATTTACACTGTAGAATGGAACAAACCAAGCGAATTCAGCTGTATTTACACTGTAGAATGGAACAAACCAAGCGAATTCAGATGTATTTACACTGTAGAATGGAACAAACCAAGAGAATTCAGATGTATTTACACTGTAGAGGGGAACACACCAAGAGAATTTAACTGTATTTACACTGTACAATGGAACAACACAAGAGAATTTAACTGTATTTACACTGTACAATGGAACAACACAAGAGAATTCAACTGTATTTACACTGTACAATGGAACAACACAAGAGAATTCAACTGTATTTACACTGTTCAAGGGAAAAAGACAAGAGACTGTGGAATGGAACAAACCAAGATAATTCAGATTTATTTACACTGTAGAATGGAACCAACCAAGAGACTTCAGGTGTATTAACACTGTAGAAGGGAACACACCAAGAGAATTAAACTGTATTTACCCTTTAGAAGGGAACACACAAAGAGAATTTAACTGTATTTACCCCGTAGAAGGGAACACACAAAGAAAATTCAGCTGCATTCACGCTGGACAAGGCAACAACCCGAGAGAATTCAGCTGCATTCACGCTGGACAAGGCAACAACCCGAGAGAATTCAGCTGCATTCACGCTGGACAAGGCAACAACCCGAGAGAATTCAGCTGCATTCGAGCTGGACAAGGCAACAACCCAGGATAATTAAGCTGCATTCACGCTGGACAAGGCAACAACCCGAGAGAATTCAGCTGCATTAATGCTGGACAAGGCAACAACCCGAGAGAATTGAGATGTATATACCCTGTTCAAGAGGACAAACCAAGATAATTCAGCTGTATTTACCCTGTTCAAGAGAACAAACCAAGATAATTCAGCTGTATTTACCCTGTTCAAGAGAACAAAACAAGATAATTCAGCTGTATTTACCCTGTTCAAGAGAACAAACCAAGATAATTCAGCTGTATTTACCCTGTTCAAGAGAACAAACCAAGATAATTCAGCTGTATTTACCCTGTTCAAGAGAACAAACCAAGATAATTCAGCTGTATTTACCCTGTTCAAGAGAACAAACCAAGAGAATTCAGCTGTATTTACCCTGTTCAAGAGAACAAACCAAGATAATTCAGCTGTATTTACCCTGTTCAAGAGAACAAACCAAGATAATTCAGCTGTATTTACCCTGTTCAAGAGAACAAACCAAGAGAATTCAGCTGTATTTACCCTGTTCAAGAGAACAAACCAAGATAATTCAGCTGTATTTACCCTGTTCAAGAGAACAAACCAAGATAATTCAGCTGTGTTTACCCTGTTCAAAAGAACAAACCAAGATAATTCAGCTGTATTTACCCTGTTCAAGAGAACAAACCAAGAGAATTCAGCTGTATTTACCCTGTTCAAGAGAACAAACCAAGATAATTCAGCTGTATTTACCCTGTTCAAGAGAACAAACCAAGATAATTCAGCTGTATTTACCCTGTTCAAGAGAACAAACCAAGAGAATTCAGCTGTATTTACCCTGTTCAAGAGAACAAACCAAGATAATTCAGCTGTATTTACCCTGTAAGTAAAGGACCCTTTCCATGCCTTTATGCGTATAGGGCACATAGGGCTAGACCTATATTTTTTTTAGACTAATCGGCACAAAATGATTTATACTGTAGAAGGGGACAAATCAGGTGAATTCAGCTGTATTTACACTGGACAAGGGAACACACCAAGAGAATTTAGATGTATTTAGACTGTACACACACAGTGGTCAAATGAAAATAAGCAACTGTATGTGAACAAAGCGATGATTACATCAACGTCCAGCTGCTTTGTCGCCCCCTCTCCCCTCCTTTCTTTTCCTCTACTTCTGTCTGCGATTCTTGTTATGCCCTAAAAGTGTGCGTTTTTTTTTTTTTTTTTTAATATTGCAAGTATTTGATAATCCTCTTCAAAAATATGTTAAATGACATTTATTATTATATTATTGTAATGTTGAGCTCAACCATTTACTGCCCATGCTGACTTATTTATTGCTTGCGTAAATTTAACACTTTTGACTGGCAGCATCAACCTAACAAATCCCGACTGGCAAATCAATATAATATGGAGTAAGCGAACACCTCATCGAAGTGTGCAAAAGTTTATACAGGGATTGTAGAAGTGTAGTTAGAATAAATCAGGGAACATCTCATCCATTCACAGTAACATCTGGAGTAAGACAGGGGTGTGTCTTATCACCATTGCTGTTTATCGCCTACATCGACTGTATATGCAAGAATGCCAAGCCCATGAATGAAGATCTTAGTAAGATCAAAGAATTACTCTTTGCAGATGACCAGGTCTTGATAGCAGACACAGCCATGAAATTGCAACAACATCTAACATCCATGAATGAAGAATGTAAAACAAATAATATGAGAATCAACACTGAAAAGACAGAAGTAATGTCAATAGAAAAAAAGGAAGACAGATCTAAACATAGAAATAGAGTGCAAAGGCATTAAACAGGCATCTGAGTTTAAATATCTGGGAACTACATTTACCGAAGATGGGAAACTGGATAAAGAAATTGACATTAGATGCAGTAAAGCAAACCAAGTATTGGGACAGCTAGCCCCCCTCTTACAGAATAAGACAATCCCAATCAGCACACAGAGACATCTTATTCAAAGCATATTTATTCCAACTCTGTGCTACCAGTGCCAGACATGGTCACTCACAACAGCTGAATTATCTTGGTTTGTTCTCTTGAACAGGGTAAATACAGCTGAATTCTCTTGGTTTGTTCTCTTGAACAGGGTAAATACAGCTGAATTATCTTGGTTTGTTCTCTTGAACAGGGTAAATACAGCTGAATAAGACAATCCCAATCAGCACACAGAGACATCTTATTCAAAGCATATTTATTCCAACTCTGTGCTACCAGTGCCAGACATGGTCACTCACAACAAACTATTAAAGAAAATTAGTAACCACGGAAATGAGATGTCTGAGAAGGGCTGTAGGTGTGACCATTAGAGATAAGATCAGGAATGAGATCATAAGAGAAAAAGTCGGCACAGAACCAATTCTAAATTACAGGCGAAGACAGCAAGTGGAAGTGGTTTGCCCACTTAGAGAGAATGCCCTGTGACACCAAACCATACAAAGCATAACTGGAAAGGGAAGAAGGACGTAGAGCACGAGGTAGACCAAGAACAAGATGGAAGGATAACATCAAAGAAACTCTACAACAGCACGATGTGCCTATGGTCGAGGTGGCCAGAAGAGCTAGAAGCAGAACCTTGTATCTCCCTCGACACCCACAGCAGTAAAAGGAAGTGAAGAAGAAGAAGAAATCCAAATAACAGTCACGATTTTATGTTCTTACATTTCTTGATGACGTCATTAAAACAGCTGGTTGGGTGACCCGACATCTGTTACATAACATTCATCAACTGGCTTGGTTGGGGGCGGGGGTGGCGGGTGTCCGAATCTCCACAAGCTGCAGATGGACGATAGACAAGAACAAATAGGCATCTCAGCAGAGCTGTGAATGTGTTATCGGCCAGTTAGTGACGGACCCTTAAGTGTATTGTGTGATTTAGTCATAGTTGTGAAGCAGTTTTTCGGCTGTAGCATTCGTTAGGAATTAGAACTGATCGCGTAGAAACTGTTAGGCAGCTAGGTACAGCTATCATGCATTGGTTGTGCGTTGACTGCACACTTAGGCCTTCCTAGTGCGCTTCAGAATCTTGAGTGGCAAAGACAGAACCTTGACAAACGCTGTAAGAAAGTGTGGGTTTGTACCCCAGGACATCCATGAGAATGGCGCGGTCGCCCTAGTGAATGTAAACGCTAGGCGGCCATCATGGACACCCACACCCTTTGAGGCTACCTGAATAGTTTGACTTTATCTTTGTTTATTAAAGATGTTGTGTAGGCTTTGCCGGTGTCTGGTATACGTGTGTAGTAGGGTAGTTTTGTCTGTTGGCCTACGATACGAGCCAGATTAACCAGATTAATTATAGAACAGAGAAGGTCGCTGACAGATAGCCATAAGCCAGTGACAGGAGAATGTTAATGGACTTTCATTGGTCAATGACAGGAGAATGCCACTGGAATGCCATAGTTTAACCGACAGGAGAATGTCAGTGAAATGCCATAAGTTAACTGACAGGATAATGCCAGAGGATTGCCATAGATTAACTGACAGGAGAATGCCAGAGGATTGCCATAAGTTAACTGACAGGAGAATGCCAGTGGAATGCCATAGGTTAACTGACAGGAGTATGTCAATGGACTGCCATAAGTTAACTGACAGGAGAATGCCAGTGGAATGCCATAGTTTAACCGACAGGAGAATGCTAGTGGAATGCCATAAGTTAACTGACAGGAGAATGCCAGTAGAATGCCATAGATTAACTGACAGGAGAATGTCAATGGAATGCCATAAGTTAACTGACAGGAGAATGCCAGTGGATTGCCATAAGTTAACTGACAGGAGAATGCCAGTAGAATGCCATAAGTTAACTGACAGGAGAATGTCAATGGACTGCTATAAGCTAACTGACAGGAGAATGCCAATGGAATGCCATAGATTAACTGACTGGAGAATATCAATGGAATGCTATAGATTAACTGACTGGAGAATATCAATGGAATGCCATAGATTAACTGACAGGATAATGTCAATGGAATGCCATAGATTAACTGACAGGAGAATGCCAATGGACTGCCATAGGTTAACTGACAGGAGAATGCCAATGGAATGCCATAGATTAACTGACAGGATAATGTCAATGGAATGCCATAGGTTAACTGACAGGAGAATGTCAATGGACTGCCATAGGTTAATGACAGGAGAATGTCAATGGAATGCCATAGATTAACTGACAGGAGACTGCCAATGGACTGAAATAATTATTGAGAAACACAGCATCTGGCAGTGTCAGTCATGGAGTCTGTGGTGTCCAGTCACAGCGCTGACCAATCCCTGTCCTCACTGGATCAGATCATGCATGTCCGAGAATGTGATAAGCCACACTTACAAATCCGGCTGATCTAGGTTTTTGGCGGGATACAATGATTCATAGACCCGGTTGCTGCCTTGGCCGTGGATGGCGTATGCATTGAACTTGGTGACCCCTGGAGGAAAGTAGGACCTGGGTAGGACAGCCTGTCCTGTCCAGGTGTTGCCGCTAATGTCAGCACTGAATGTTCTCAGTGGAAGTTTATCCTAAAATGAAATATCAATGTCATTGTCAACTGTCGTGTTGTCTCAACACATGAAGACATGTTTGTTAACTTTCACATATAAAATGTTGTCTAAACATATGCTGACATGTTTGTTAACTTTCCCAAGTAAAATGTCTAAACATATGCTGACATGTTTGTTAACTTTCCTAAGTAAAATGTTGTCTCAACACATGAAGACATGTTTGTTAACTTTCCCAAGTAAAATGTCTAAACATATGCTGACATGTTTGTTAACTTTCCCAAGTAAAATGTCTAAACATATGCTGACATGTTTGTTAACTTTCCTAAGTAAAATGTCTAAACATATGCTGACATGTTTGTTAACTTTCCTAAGTAAAATGTTGTCTCAACACATGAAGACATGTTTGTTAACTTTCCCAAGTAAAATGTTTTCTGAACATATCTAATGTTAAAAGACTTAGTTGCCTTCAAAATCGCACTTTACGCCTGGTTTGAAATAGAAAACATATTGATAAAAATAATCTCTATCGCCATCTAAATCTTCAGCCATTTAATAAACGCCCGATTTTTAACAAGGCCAAATGTGTTCATAAAATTTTATCTCAAAATACTCCAAACTACTTTTTTTTTCAGTTGATTAAATCCAGTCCTACGAACAGCAAGCGACAAGTGTATTAAATTTGTCTAAACCTAGATTAGACTTATATAAAACAAGTTCAGCATATTCTGCTGCTCATTTATGGAAGCATCTTCCACTTGATTGCATTAGAATCAAATGTTGAATGTTAAATAAAGAATCAACATAATAGCACTCAGGACACTCCCATAAGCACTCTGTCCCCGCTTTAGCAGCAAACAAAGAGTTCCAATTCTGATGACACCAGTAACTGTCTGATTGTATATCCGTCTCGCTTTTCCCTTGAGTGTTGAACGTCAACCAGATCTCCTGGTAACTCCGTGCAGCACGCTTCTCCTCAGACCGTAAAGATCTTTTTGCACTGTTCAATCGCTCCCAGAGGACTCTCAAAACATCTAGCATCTAGCTCGTCACACATCAGTTTACCAACAAGTGGTGCAGAACCGGCCAGTCTATTTGCCTGCTCATTTCCCACCACCCTGGCATGACCTGGAGAGAATATCCAAAGCATGTTAACTACCCGCTACCTCTGAAGTGATGCTTGCCACTCTATACGGAGCAAACCTGTCTCCACCTTTCGCAACAAGCTCTGTTAGTCAGTTACAGTGACGACATGTGTGTAAAGCTGATTCGCTATGAACTCCCATGCACTGTGTCTGCCCCTCACCACAGAGCCATCTGTATACACAGTCACATCACTTGGGCGTGAGTTGTCATGAATCATTTGTTGAACTTCTGATTCTGCAGCACCAGCTGGCCAGTTCAGTGACAGGATCACATGCTGGAACATTGTGAACAGCACTCTTCGTTCCATGTCCATTGCTGCCATAATCTTGAGAGTATTGAGTCCTTTTTGGCATTTTACTGTATATAGAAAATATAGGTATGTATGTGGCGTATGTGGGTGGATGAACGAGTGAAAGAATAGGTTGGCGTTTGTATGAGGGTATGTGTGTGTGTGTGCGCGCGCACGCGAGTATGCCTATGTATTTTACCACCCATGCTTGTGTGTGTGTGTGTGTGTGTGTGTGTGTGTGTGTGTTTTATAATATGCATATTATTATATAAAAATAACATGTTCTTTTTTTGTGTGTGGATAAAATACAACTGCTGTGTGAAAGGTGGGTGTTTGGAAGGGTCGAATGTAAGACGGCTTGCGTGCCCAATTTGTAACCCTTTGAAAATAAAGTTAGTTCGTTTGTTCTATGTTTCTGTTCCATGCAGCCGTACTGTTTTGACATTCTTCTTCTTGAAGTCAATGCCGTGTGGCGTTGGTCGACATATCTATCTACAACCATCTGTCTCATGTACTTTCAGTCAACTCTGATGCAGATGATCTCCATGCCTTGATGTCAAACTGTCAAGCATCTTTTCTCTCAGATTCCCTCTGCCTCTCTCTCCCCTCTCCCCCTTTCCACCCCCCCCCCAACTTTTCTACCGTCACAATGTACTCTGGTTTTCTCCTTCTAATTACATGACTAAAGAATGTAGATTGTATCTTTCTGATGTAGGCAATTAGTTCTCTTCGTAGTCAGTTTCTGTGAAGACATCATCTTTGCTGCAGGGTATTCTCATCATTCGTCTAGAAAACCACATAACCGCAACTTCGCAATAATTGTTCACTAATCTACCAGTTGTCAATGACTCACTTGATTCTATGGTGTTATCCGCCACCAAAATGTTCATATATACTCTAAGAATTTACTTACATGCTTCACTGAGGTATCGTGGAATTTGAAAATGCAATCTCTATCTAGCTGTGTAAGTAAACTCCAAAATGCGCAGAACTTGACTAGCATCCCTACATGTTTGTTAGCGCAACAAGTTTAGCTTAAGCTTGCATCCCTGACATAGTTTTATGCCTTAAGTACAGTGATATGTGCAGTGAAAGTAAAGTTTACTGAATAAAGGCTGAATCCTTAAATGGAAACTTACCTTCAGTTTATCATTGTATTAGTCCTCGCTGTCCCGGGAAACATAGGTAATCTGTAATCGTTATTCTGTGAATTCTCATTATTGATATTCAGCAGACACCACCCATGACAACGACCAGTGACATAGCAGCTGGTATCCTCAATATCTCCCCCTTGTGAATTTGAATCATCACCTAACACTTAGGACTGGCATCCGTCCCCTAACACTTGGGACTCTCATCCGTCCCCTAACACTTAGGACTGGCATCCGTTCCCTACCACTTGGGACTCTCATCCGTCCCCTGACACCTGGGACTGCCATCCGTCCCCTAACACTTGGGACTCTCATCCGTCCCCTAACACTTGAGACTGGCATCCGTCCCCTAACACTTGAGACTCTCATCCGTCCCCTGACACTTGAGACTCTCATCCGTCCCCTAACATTTAGGACTCTCATCGTCCCCTACCACTTGGGACTCTCATCCGTCCCCTAACACTTGAGACTTTCATCCGTCCCCTAACACTTGAGACTTTCATCCGTCCCCTAACATTTAGGACTCTCATCGTCCCCTACCACTTGGGACTCTCATCCGTCCCCTAACACTTGAGACTTTCATCCGTCCCCTAACACTTGAGACTCCAATTCGTCTCCTAACACATGGGACTTTCATCCGTCCCCTAACACTTGGCACTTTCAACCGTCCCCTAACACTTTAGACTCCCATTCGTCCCCTAACACATGGGACTTTCATCCGTTCCCTAACACTTGGGACTTTCATCCGTCTCCTAGCACTTCGGACTTTCATCCGTCCCCTAACACTTGGGACTCTCATCCGTCCCCTAACATTTGAGACTCTCATCCGTTCCCTAACACTTGAGACTCTCATCCGTTCCCTAACACTTGAGACTCTCATCCGTTCCCTAACACTTGAGACTCTCATCCGTTCCCTAACACTTGAGGCTCTCATCCGTTCCCTAACACTTGAGACTCTCATCCGTTCCCTAACACTTGAGATTCGCATCCGTCCCCTAACACTTAGGACTCTCATCCGTCCCCTAACACTTGAGACTCTCATCCGCCCCTAACACTGTGGAAACTCATCTTCCCCTGACACTTTGGACTCTCATCCGTTTCCTAAAACTTGAGACTCTCATCCGTCCCCTAACACTTGGGAATCTCATCTTCCCCTGACACTTGGGACTTTCGTCCGTTCCCTAACACTTGGGACTTTCATCCGTCCCCTAACACTTAGGACTTTCATCCTCCCCTAACACTTGGGACTCTCATCCGTCCCCTAACACTTGAGACTCTCATCCGTCCCCTAACACTTGGGACTCTCATCCATCCCCTAACACTTGGGACTCTCATCCGTCCTCTAACACTTGGGACTCTCATCCGTCCCCTAACACTTGGGACTTGCATCCGTCCCCTAACACTTGGGACTCTCATCCGTCCCCTAACACTTGAGACTCTCATCCGTCCCTTACACTTGAGACTCTCATCCGTCCCCTAACACTTGGGACTCTCATCCGTCCCCTAACACTTGAGACTCTCATCCGTCCCCTAACACTTGAGACTCTCATCCGTCCCCTAACACTTGAGACTCTCATCCGTCCCCTAACATTTGAGACTCTCATCCGTTCCCTAACACTTGAGACTCTCATCCGTTCCCTAACACTTGAGACTCTCATCCGTTCCCTAACACTTGAGACTCATCCGTTCCCTAACACTTGAGACTCTCATCCGTTCCCTAACACTTGAGGCTCTCATCCGTTCCCTAACACTTGAGACTCTCATCCGTTCCCTAACACTTGAGACTCTCATCCGTTCCCTAACACTTGGGACTTGCATCCGTCCCCTAACACTTAGGACTCTCGTCGTCCACTGAAACGTGGCACTCTTATCCATGCCTTGACATTAATTATTCAGAAAGCTACCTGATTACTATGTGGCTTACCTTTACCATATTCCGCTGTCCGTTCAACATCAGCAGTAGATGCTGACCATGCCTAAGAGGGGAGATAAATATATATTTTAGCCATGATGTGAAGGGGAGATAAAAAAATATCAACAATGATGGAAGAGATTAGATAAACAAACGTCAGCCTTGATGAAAGGGAGAGGTAAACAAATATCGACCATGATAGGTGAAGGAAAGATAAACAAATATCAGCTAGGATGGGAAAGGGAAAGACAAGCAAATGTCAGCTAGGATGGGAAATGGGAGATGGACAAACATAACCATATTTGTAATGAGAAGAATTTTTATATCGAGTTTCTAGTAACATATATAGGTTGAGAGAGAAATGCGCGAGAGCACGAATACCCGCGGAGCACGAATTAAAGGAAGAGTGCTCAGGTGACTGCACGAGGGACTGAGAATGAGTTTGAAAGATTTGACGATGTTCTAAACCAGTGTTTAATTCGCGGACGGAGTGAGAGGTTGTGTTTTGTGATAACCTTAATGCGACATTGTAAAACTGAACAACGTGAAGGAGACTGAATTTAACAAGATGACCGCCTAGCCAGAATCCAGTCAAGTTGATGACTAGACTGATGGTGGAGCTGAAGAGCCAGCGGCCGGAGATGCTGGTTTGACACCTGTACATGTGGCGTGTTTGAGACGTGAAGATTTCAAAATTAGCGAACGTAAATGATTGTTAACAGGTGTGAGGAACTTTATCATTGTTACATACTGAATATTTGGACATGCTAGAGAGTAGCGGACGGTGACTGGACCGGATTGTCATCTGTGAGTAATAAAGATGTCAACTGTGATTGTGTTTCCTCAATAACATCTGTGTGCGTCAATTCATCATGTGTCAGCCACAGTACAATCCCCTAGGAAACAACCAGAGCACACTGAGGGAGCAACGTCGCAATATTAATCAGCCATGATGTGATCAGGTCAGACAGGACACGAATGGACAGGGGGAGAGAGAATGAGAAATGAAGGGAAGAGAGGCAAGAGACAGAACGACGCTTTCGAGAGGTTAAGTGTCAGCATTCACATCCTCTAGGCAACAGCATTCACATCCTCTAGGCAACAGCATTCACATCCTCTAGGCAACAGCATTCACATCCTCTAGGCAACAGCATTCACATCCTCTAGGCAACATCATTCACATCCTCTAGGCAACAGCATTAACATTCTCTAGGCAACAGCATTCACATCCTCTAGGCAACAGCATTAACATTCTCTAGGCAACAGCATTAACATTCTCTAGGCAACAGCATTAACATTCTCTAGGCAACAGCATTCACATCCTCTTGGCAACAGCATTAACATTCTCTAGGTAACAGCATTAACATTCTCTAGGCAACAGCATTAACATTCTCTAGGCAACAGCATTAACATTCTCTAGGTAACATCATTCACATCCTCTAGGTAACAGCATTAACATTCTCTAGGCAACAGCATTAACATTCTCTAGGTAACAGCATTAACATTCTCTAGGTAACAGCATTCACATCCTCTAGGCAACAGCATTAACATTCTCTAGGCAACATCATTCACATTCTCTAGGTAACAGCATTAACATTCTCTAGGTAACAGCATTAACATTCTCTAGGCAACAGCATTAACATTCTCTAGGTAACAGCATTAACATTCTCTAGGTAACAGCATTCACATCCTCTAGGTAACAGCATTAACATTCTCTAGGTAACAGCAAAATAAATTAGGAGAGAGGTGGAGGGGGGGGGGGGCGAGAAACTTTTGGTCGCCTTTACTTCTCAGAGAGTTCTCACAATAATCTGATACCCATCTGATGGAACTGGGTCAGTACAGTCCTAGACCTGTCTCTGAAAATGATCTGATACCTATCTGATGGAACTGGGTCAGTACAGTCCTAGACCTGTCTCTGAAAATGATCTGATACCTATCTGATGGAACTGGGTCAGTACAGTCCTAGACCTGTCTCTGAAATGATCTGATACCTATCTGATGGAACTGGGTCAATCCTAGAGCTGTCCCTGACAATGATATAATACCTGTCTGATGGAACTGGGTCAATCCTAGAGTTGTCTCTGACAATGATCTGATACCTATCTGATGGAACTGGATTAGCCCATGAGCTGTCTGTGACAATGATCTGATATCGGATGGAACTGGGTGAATCCTAGAGCTGTCGCTGACAATGATCTGATACCTATCTGATGGAACTGGGTCAGTACAATCCTAGAGCTGTCATGGTTTGAAATCACAGTTTTCCTGAAACAAAAGAGGGCGGGGCTAGGGTTTCGAGGAAAATGTGTCTTTGGAGACAAGCACACACAAACTGCTAGTTAACTGCTACCGTGTTGATATTATTGATCTAGAAAATCAATTAACACACTGACAGGCTGCCAAGCTTACTAACTAACAGAAGATCAACTATCACTAGTAAGCTAGCAAAAGATTTATTAGCTGACAAGTACTACCATAGTTTGCTAACTGACAGGATAAGAAGCGATGTTAATGAGCTATCATAGTTCAGTAAACTGCTAGAAGAAGAGATTATGCTGATGGTCTGCCATAGTTTACCAACTGTAAGAAGAAGAAGAGATGTTGATGGGCTACAAAAGTTTACCAGTTGACACAAGAAGAAGTGATGGTAATGGACTCCCATATTTTACCAACTGACAGAAGAGGTGATGGTAATGGACTCCCATATTTTACCAACTGACAGAAGAGGTGATGGTAATGGACCATTTTAGTTTACAAAGTGACAAGAGCAGATGTAATGCTAATGGACTGCCATAGTTTACTAACTAACTGAAGAAGAAGTGATGCTATTCTACCATTTTTCTAACTGAAAAGAGAAAAGGTGATGCCAATAGACTGTCATAGATTAGTTAACTGACAAGACAATAGGTGATGCTAATGGACTGCCATAGTTTACTAACTAACTGAAGAAGAAGTGATGCTAATGGACTGCCATAGTTTACTAACTAACTGAAGAAGAAGTGATGCTAATCTACCATTTTTCTAACTGAAAAGAGAAAAGGTGATGCCAATAGACTGTCATAGATTAGTTAACTGACAAGACAATAGGTGATGCTAATAGACTGCCATATTTACTGACAGGAGAAGAGGTGAAGCCAATGGACTGCCACAGTTTACTGACAGGAGAAGAGATGACGCTAACTAACTGCCATAGTTTGTTGACAGGAGACCCATTAACTTGACTAGACAATCATAATTGGCAGAAAAACTCACGGAGACAGCTCCACTTCCAAGTACTGGTTTCTCTGGTTCAAAAAGAAAGCTTCCACCACTGGAACACCAATAAAACAACACAGTCAAATGTTATGTGCTATGCTATCTGACTTACACATGGCATTCTATATTCTTTTTATATGCCTTTAACAAGACACCAGGATTAGAATCAAATGTGTAGCTTACTAAGTCAGTGAACTGTCACTCAACCACAGACAAAACATCAACGATTTCCAGCAGCCAAACTGTATAGCAGCCAAACTATATAGGTCACTGTTTCAGTGACCAGAACTTGTCTAAATTTGTCTCAGCAAACATTCCTGGACACCATAAATGTTCTGTTTCTTTGGCATCCTCTGAAGGCAAAATCTTGGACACCTGGATGTCAGAGGCCGGTGTTGGTATAAGACAGGCAGTATTATAGTAGTGATTGTTTCATGTCTGCACTTACATGAACGGGGCATGAGCCGGTGTTCACCTAGACCAACTGACGAAGGTAGGAAATTGTGACTGGCTGAGTGGTTCGCTGGCAAAGCTACGAGTCCCGCAAGAATAGGCACTAAACTGCTTAAATGTTGGATTAGGAATAGACATCACCGCACTAGGACACTCCCATAAGTGCTCCGACTTCATCTTCAGCAGCAAGCGAAGAGTTCCAATTCCGATGACACCAGTAACCGTCTGATTGTATATCCATCTCATCCTGCTCCAAGTGTTGAGCGTCGACCAGATCCCCTGTTAACTTATCGCAGCGCCATTCTTCTCAGACCATAGTGATCTATCTGCGCTTCTGCACTCTTCACTCATTCCCAAAAAGGACCACACAATATCTAGGTTGTAATACATCAATTCACCACCAAGTGGTGCAGAGCCGGCCAGTCTATCTGCCTGCTCATTTCCTAACACACTGGCAAGACCAGGAGAAAATATCCTGACTGAACTACATACTGAAACAAAACCAGAGGACAGCGAAAGATAGGGATAGTTTGTTTCCAGAACGTAAGATTGTAGAAACTTGTGATCGTTTGACAGTTAGATTGTAACGTGTTGTGTTCAGACCATAGTGACCGATAGTCTGTGTTACAGTGTGCTTAGTTAGACAGTAGCAGTACCTCTATGATACACCGCGCTCGACAGAGATATATTTTGTGTGTAGCTTGTTCTGTGGGTAGCTGGCTAGGTGTTATTGTTAGTCTGGTAGCTAGGACATGTTTGTGCTGGTTGTAGTGATTTGATCTGTCCTTACTCAGTTAGCTCGCACTCAAGAGTTCAGTTGTTGAGAAAAGAGTTGTACCGAAGCGGCGTGAGTTCGGACCCGGGTACTATCCATGGGAACGGGATAGGATTGAGAAGTGATTTGTAAAGACCTTAGGTCTTTGTTTCAGACAGGGGTGCCCACGACTTCTGAAGCAAACTACAGTATCTTCTATTGTCCTGTACGAACGAACGAACGAACGAACGAACGAACAAACTTTATTTTTAAAGGGTTAAGAATTGGGCACGCAGGCCCGTCTAACATTCTGCCCTTCGAGGTCTCCCTCCATTCTTACATCATTTCATTCACATATCAAGTAACATTAAAAGTTTGTAATAGCATCAGAATAATCAATACAAGCACTGGAATGTGCACATTTTTAACTACAGTAAAACGTATTAGTTGAAACAAATCTAAATTAATGGGCGCTATGGGGGCATATAATCGGTGCTGAGATAATATTCGAACAGTTTCCGATTGTATGTATATGGACTAGTGGTACTTTTGATTTGCTGTGGTAGATAGTTCCACAATTGAGCTGCGGAATATGACAAACTTGTTTTATAAAGGTCTATCCTAGGTTTAGGGATGTGTAATATGTTTAGGCGCTTACTATGCCTTTCATTATATTTAAACAACGGCCATAAGTAACATGGAGCCTTTTGAGATAATATTTTGTAAGTATATTTCGCCTTATTGAAAAGTAGGCGTTCACGAAGCGGCAGTAGCCTAAGAACTTTATATGTTTCGGAGCTCACTGTTCCATGATTGTTACTAATTAAGCGAATGGCGCACTTTTGCAGTGATGTAAGCCACTTGATAACAGAGCTGGAACAGCCATCCCATATTGTAGAGCAATAGTCTATATATGTCTGGATGTGAGAAATATAGAATATCTTTCTTGTGTGTTCATCAAGAAAGTTTTTAATTTTTGCAAGCTGGTAAACCTTTTTAGCTGTTTGCTTCACAAGTGCCTGTACGTGTGAGTTGAAGGTTAGATTTGCATCAATTACCAGCCCCAGTGTCTTGTGCTCAGTTACATTTTCTACTTGAGTGCTCCCAAAGTAGAGTTGAAGCGTTCTTTGAGAATTCAAACTGTATAGTTTTTGTCTGGTCGTTATTAGCATAGATTTGGTTTTATTAATGTTTATTTGCATACGGTTTGCACTGCTCCATTGGACTACATTATTTAATTCTTGTTGTAATGACGACTCAAGTACATTACATGTTTGAGCATTTGCATAGATGGTACAGTCGTCTGCGAATAAATCGCAGGACGACGACAGACATAAAGGAAGGTCATTTACGTTGATATTGAATAACAGAGGGCCGAGAATCGAGCCTTGGGGTACCCCAGTATTTAGGTCAGTGGTCTGCGATAGTGATTTATTGTAACAGATTATTTGTTTTCTATTTAATAAAAAGGATTTAATTAGCTTTAATGGCCTAGGGTTAAATTTCATTGTTTCTAATTTTCTAATAAGAATGTTATGGTCTATCATGTCAAAAGCTTTCTTAAAGTCTATAAACACCCCGCCACATATTTTCTCATAATTAACATTCTGGTGCCATTTTTCAATCATGTTAGTTAAGGCAGTATGGCAAGAATAGTTTGGTCGAAAACCTGATTGGTTATCTACTATAAGTTTGTTGTGATCTAAGTGCTGAAAAGTTACATTATGAATATGTTTCTCTAGTGGTTTCGATAGTGAAGATAACAGGGAGATTGGTCTGTAGTTACCTGGAATACTACTGTCTAAGGGACCAGATTTTAGATGTGGATACACTTTGTCAATCTTAAATGTAGATGGGAAGTAGCCTTTGACAAGACATTGGTTGTAAATAAAGGTCATCGACTCGCAAATAACTGGGGCAGCAATACGAAGGATCCTATTGCTGATTCCGTCTAAACCGGATGTATTACTGTTTCTGAGACTGTTGAAATGTATAAAAACTTCCGCAACTGTCATGAGAGGAATGTCAGAAGGAATGTCCTCAGAGCATTTATTTTCACAAAATGTTGATAGCAGTGATAAATCACATGGGCAGTTTGGCATTGTGGTTTTTAACTTTTCTATATTGGCTTCAAAGAAATTACTGAAATCATCCGATGTTATATTAGATGTCAGCAAACGCGTTGAAGTACCTTTGTTTGTCAATGTATTTATTGCCTTCCATATATCTTTGCTGTTTCTTTTATCTACTATTAGCTGTTTAAAAAAGTTATTTTTTTCCTTACGAATTGTAAACTGGACTTTGTTTCGCAGATTCCGGTATGTGAGTATATCCTTCTTTTTATGCCCCCTATCTCGCTCTCTCATAATTGCAACTACCTCCTGTGTGATCCAAGGGGATTTAGTTTGATGTTTCACACGGACCTTCTTAACTGGCACATTCTTGTCAAATACACTAGAGAAGGTCTTCAGCCAATATTCCAGAGCGTCATCTGAATCAGGGAGTTGGTAAACGTGGTCAAGTGGTGAAGATCCAGCCAGTCTATCTGCCTGCACATTTTTTTAACATAACCTGGAAAAAATATCCAAAGGATGCTAACTACCCAGGACCTGTGAAGTGATGCTTGCCACTCTGCACGAAGCATGCCTGTTTTGAGTAAGTTACAATCACGGCATGTTTGTACGGCTGATTCTCAAGTCAGCAGAAGGAAGCAGAGACTGCCTCCACCTTCATTCTCAAACTAGACGTTGTGATATTATAAAAATAATCACAATAATTAAAAAAAAAATAATATTAATCTAATCTTAGAGCATAGAAATTGAACAAGACTGTTTAGAGTCTCTCATCATTCTCTGCACTCTCAGTCAGTGTACATGACTAGTTAGTGTTGAGTCTCTCATCCTTCTCTGCCCCCTCAGTCAGTATACATGACTATCTAGTGTTGAATCTCTCCTTTTTCTTCTCCCCCTTAGTCAGTGTATATGACTAGTAAGTGTTGAGTCTCTCATCCTTCCCTGCCCTCTCAGTCAGTGTACATGACTAGTTAGTGTTGAATCTCTCATCCTTCTCTGCCCTCTCAGTCAGTGTATATGACTAGTAAGTGTTGAATCTCTCATCCTTCTCTGCCCTCTCAGTCAGCGTATATGACTAGTTAGTGTTGAATCTCTCATCCTTCTCTGCCCTCTCAGTCAGTGTACATGACTAGCTAGTGTTGTCTCTCATTCTTCTCTGCCCTCTCAGTCAGTGTACATGACTAGCTAGTGTTGTCTCTCATCCTTCTCTGCCCTCTCAGTCAGTGTACATGACTAGTAAGTGTTGAGTCTCTCATCCTTCTCTGCCCTCTCAGTCAGTGTACATGACTAGCTAGTGTTGAGTCTCTCATCCTTCTCTGCCCTCTCAGTCAGTGTACATGACTAGCTAGTGTTGAGTCTCTCATCCTTCTTTGCCCTCTCAGTCAGTGTACATGACTAGTTAGTGTTGAATCTCTCATCCTTCTCTGCCCTCTCAGTCAGTGTATATGACTAGTAAGTGTTGAATCTCTCATCCTTCTCTGCCCTCTCAGTCAGTGTATATGACTAGTTAGTGTTGAATCTCTCATCCTTCTCTGCCCTCTCAGTCAGTGTACATGACTAGCTAGTGTTGTCTCTCATTCTTCTCTGCCCTCTCAGTCAGTGTACATGACTAGCTAGTGTTGTCTCTCATCCTTCTCTGCCCTCTCAGTCAGTGTACATGACTAGTAAGTGTTGAGTCTCTCATCCTTCTCTGCCCTCTCAGTCAGTGTACATGACTAGCTAGTGTTAAGTCTCTCATTCTTTTCCACCCCCTCAGTCAGTTTACATGACTAGTAAGTGTTGAGTCTCTCATCCTTCTCTGCCCTCTCAGTCAGTGTACATGACTAGCTAGTGTTGTCTCTCATTCTTCTCTGCCCTCTCAGTCAGTGTACATGACTAGCTAGTGTTGTCTCTCATCCTTCTCTGCCCTCTCAGTCAGTGTACATGACTAGCTAGTGTTGAGTCTCTCATCCTTCTCTGCCCTCTCAGTCAGTGTACATGACTAGCTAGTGTTGTCTCTCATTCTTCTCTGCCCTCTCAGTCAGTGTACATGACTAGTAAGTGTTGAATCTCTCATCCTTCTCTGCCCTCTCAGTCAGTGTATATGACTAGTAAGTGTTGAATCTCTCATCCTTCTCTGCCCTCTCAGTCAGTGTACATGACTAGCTAGTGTTGTCTCTCATCCTTCTCTGCCCTCTCAGTCAGTATACATGACTAGTAAGTGTTGAATCTCTCATCCTTCTCTGCCCTCTCAGTCAGTGTACATGACTAGTTAGTGTTGAGTCTCTCATCCTTCTCTGCCCTCTCAGTCAGTGTACATGACTAGCTAGTGTTGAGTCTCTCATCCTTCTCTGCCCTCTCAGTCAGTGTACATGACTAGTTAGTGTTAAGTCTCTCATTCTTTTCCACAACCTCAGTCAGTGTACATGACTAGTTAGTGTTGAGTCTCTCATCCTTCTCTGCCCTCTCAGTCAGTGTATATGACTAGTAAGTGTTGAATCTCTCATCCTTCTCTGCCCTCTCAGTCAGTGTATATGACTAGTAAGTGTTGAGTCTCTCATCCTTCTCTGCCCTCTCAGTCAGTATATATGACTAGTAAGTGTTGAATCTCTCATCCTTCTCTGCCCTATCAGTCAGTGTATATGACTAGTAAGTGGAATCTCTCATCCTTCTCTGCCCTCTCAGTCAGTGTACATGACTAGCTAGTGTTGAGTCTCTCATCCTTCTCTGCCCTCTCAGTCAGTGTACATGACTAGTAAGTGTTGAGTCTCTCATCATTCTCTGCCCTCTCAGTCAGTATATATGACTAGTAAGTGTTGAATCTCTCATCCTTCTCTGCCCTCTCAGTCAGTGTACATGACTAGCTAGTGTTGAGTCTCTCATCCTTCTCCGCCCTCTCAGTCAGTGTACATGACTAGCTAGTGTTGAGTCTCTCATCCTTCTCTGCCCTCTCAGTCAGTGTACATGACTAGTTAGTGTTGAATCTCTCACCCTTCTCTGCCCTCTCAGTCAGTGTACATGACTAGTTAGTGTTGTCTCTCATTCTTCTCTGCCCTCTCAGTCAGTGTACATGACTAGTTAGTGTTGAGTCTCTCATCCTTCTCTGCCCTCTCAGTCAGTGTACATGACTAGTTAGTGTTGAGTGTCTCATCCTTCTCTGCCCTCTCAGTCAGTGTACATGACTAGTTAGTGTTGAGTCTCTCATCCTTCTCTGCCCTCTCAGTCAGTGTACATGACTAGCTAGTGTTGAATCTCTCCTTCTTCTTCACCCTCTTAGTGAGCGGATTGAGTGGTACTTACCTTCATAATCCCTGGGGATTGAGTAGTACTTACCTTCATAATTTCTGTGGACTGAGTAGTATTGACTTTCATATTCCCTGCGAATTGACTGGTACTGCGCTTTATAATCCCTGACGATTGAGTGGTACTGACCTTCATAATTCCCTAGGGATGGAGGGGTACTGATCATAATTCCCTGGGGATTGAGTGGCACTGACCCTCATAATCCTAGGGGACTAATTTGTACTAACCATATTCCTGGGGGACTGAGTTGTACTGACCTTCATAATCCCTGGGGATTGAGTAGTACGGGTAATAATTCCCTGGGGATTGAGTTGTACTGACCTTCATGATCCCTGCGGATTGAGTGGTACTGACCTTCATAATCCCAGGGCATTGAGTGGTACTTACCTTAATAATCCCTGGGGATTGAGTGGTACTTACCTTCATAATCCTGGAAACAATCCCACCAATCAATTGAGTTGCAAAAAAGAAATGGGTGTCAACCGAAATTATGCAGTTTATGGATGAAAGAAGGGAGAAAAAGAATGATAAAGAAGAATACTCTAGAATACAAAAAGAAATAATGAACAAATGCAAAGTGGCAAAAGAAGCCTGGCTGAATCAAATGTGTACAGAGATTGGGGAAAACAACAGGAAAGACTCACATTCCATGTACCAAAAGATAAATATGTTAACAGGAAAGATGACACGTAACAGCACTGGATGTTTAAAATCAAAAGATAGTGACTTATTAATGGGACATAGTAATATAATTAACAGATGGACAGAGTATATAGGGGAATTGTATGATGATAACAGACTACACGTAGAACTGCAGACCAACAATGATGGTCCACCAAATAATGACTGCAGAAGTTGAGGATGCAATATATCATATGAAGAAAGGAAAAGCACCTGGGCCAGACAACATCTCACTGGAAGAAATCGAAGCACTGGGAGATTTTGGAATTGAAATAATAACTAAACTTTTAAATGATATTTATAATAGTGATTATATTCCAAATGACCTTTTAAAATCCATATTTATAGCTCTGTCAAAGAAACCAGGCACTTTAAAATGTAAAGACCGTCGCACTATGTGTCTTATAAGTCACCTGACTAAGATTTTACTGAGAATAATTATGAGAAGAATAAGAAACAAAATTAAACAAGAAATCAGCGATGAACAATGTGGATTTGTAGAAGGAAAGGGTGCAAACAATGATATATATATATCCTAAGGGCATTGCCAGAAAGAGCTAAACAAGTAAGGACTGATTTATACTTATGCTTCATAAACTATACAAAAGCCTTTGACTGTGTGAAGAAAGTAATGAAACTGTTAAAAAAAGTAAACATTTATGATAAAGATCTACGAATAATAAAAAATATGTATTGGCAGCAAACAGCAGCTATAAGAATTAACAACTGTTTAGGTACATTTCAAAGCATAAAGAGGGACATGCGACAAGGATGTGTACTATCACCTGATTTGTTTTCAATATACAGTGAATATATAATGAGATCTTCAATTGAAATGCCCGGAATTGTGGTTGGTGGGCACAATATAAAAAAAATTACGTTATGCTGATGACACAGTCTTGATAGCAACAAGTCAGAAAGAACTACAGGAAATGATAGACATTGTGGTGTTAGAAAGTGGCAGAATGGTCCTCAGTTTGAAAAATAGGAAGACAGAAGTAAAAGTGGTATCAAAGAAACGAATTATTCCTAAATGTGTAATAAAAGTCGATTGTGTTATTTTAAGACAAGTACAGAAATTTAAGTATCTGGGCACACGGATAACATCAGATGGAAAATGCGTAACTGAGATAAGAAACAGAATAAGACAGGCAAAAACTGACTTTTATAAAACGAAGAACATCTTATGCAATATATCTTTGTCATTGAGAGTTAGAAAAATAATTCTTGCTTGCTACATACATCCAGTTTTAATTTATGGCTGTGAATCCTGGACAATCGGTAGGCAGGCCAAACAATTTCTTGAGGCCTCAGAGATGTGGTTTTACAGAAGAATGCTTAGAATACCTTGGACAGCCAAACAGAGCAACCAAGAGGTTTTGAAAGAGGCGGTGTGACGAGCTGGTCTGGACAGCTGTTTCTGTCCTCTTAAAAAGTGCTTTGTTTAGATAATATTATTACTAAAGTTCTAAACATTTTCCTATTGCTTTCAATTAGCATAATAACACTGGACTAATTAAGAAATTTCTTACCCCTTTCCTAATGCTTTATTGTAGCAAAATTATAATTAAAGAGTTGAAAGGTAATATAGGCGAAGAGTAGTGCAAGGGGGACTGAAGAGTTACTTTCTCCTGACTTCCTGTTCCCTTTCAATTCAGAAATTGACCGGTTCAGACCTAAAGTTGTTAGTCTGCCTGTGGTCCAATTTTCTGTTTGAATTCCCTGCCAGGGGTGAGTTAAAAGAATAAGTTTAATTTGATGTATTGCTGCTTATTCCTCTGAATTAATTCCACAGGTTAAATTCTGAATTTAATGCCCACATGGCTCAAAAACTATGATAAATTTCTTTATCCTCACTAACCACGTTTATGATCTAGTATGTACATGTATGCAAACATATTATCGATTTGATGATTGAATTAATGTTTATTTGCTACTAGAAACGTGCATTGGTATTTTCAATTATTATACTTATATTAATTAAGTGATAATTATGTCCTCATGTGAAATCTCGGCCAGTTCCGGTTTCCAGCATGGTGGGACAATTAAAAAGGAATGAAGTGTATATTCATTATATTATACCTAATCCCTTCTAAGTTGATTTTACCTCATGGTGATATTAGCTTAATAAATCACTGTCTTGCTTTAATTTAGAGTTAGTCCAGATAATTCTGAGACTAGTTTAAGAGCTTGGAAAGTGAATAACACAGTGAGGCTGAATTTAATATTCACACTGTCAGAGAAGAAGAAGCAGAAAAGAGATGTATGGCCCCTGCTTGTAATTATTATTGTTGTAGATATATTTCCCTATTACTAGGAATACATTTCAGTTTTACAGCAGCTGGCCTTACAAATGTAATAATTATATTTCACCCCTCACCACTTCTAAACTCTGCTGAATAAGATTAGCACATGTGTGGATTTAGATTTAAACTGGAGTGAGTGTTGTATATTTTATGTTAATACTGTGACAGATGGAAAGCCCATTGTCATCTATGATTGTATTTTGACATCTATCTCATCACCCAGTATATTGATAGAGATATGTCAATCCCATTTGTTTTCAAACAGTGCAAAGCACCTGTTATGAGTTTCTGCTCTTGGTAAACTCACTCCCTGTTTCTCATTCATTGTGATGTGAACCCATGTGGTTAAGATGAGAATATTGTGAAATATGACTGTGTATGTCTGTGTGTGTAAGCATGTTAACCCTTTAAAGGAGTACTAGTGTGCAGACATCAGAACAATTTACACTGAGGAATGTCCTTTCTTTTTGTGTGATGTAAACTCTTGTTCTTGAGAGCTTTTATGAAACTGGTTTCCTAAATATTTTCCCATCAGGATTATGAACCATGTTCTGTATACATTCCCATTCTATACCAATAGAATGTGAACACCTGTTACTATCCTACTCCATATATATGTGTGTAGTGTAACAGTTTAAAGACTGGAGGTATTGTTGTCTCCAGTTAGAACCTTCCTGACTGTTTGTATAAGGACTGTTCTATTGTTCTAGTTCCAGATTGTATTCCAGATGGGAGTCCAGAAGTAGATCCTAAGCTTAGCCGCAGATACCCGATTGTCCGGACTGGACTGGAAGATTCGGCCTGCCTGATGTGTTTCCGAAGCTTAGTCAGAAGCTGACAACAGAAACCTAAGCTACAGCTAAGATTTAACTAACCTACCTTGAATAACAGGATTTTATATCCACAGCCATTTTATTTAATTATCATTTGAATTTTCAAAATAAATGTAGTTTTAATGTTCTTACAGTTTTCTGAAGTTTCATTTTAACTGAAATTGTGTCAGTGAACAAAAGCTAGTGTAATTTAAATACATTTAAATATACAATTAATTACAGTAGGGAATAAGATGTGGGCAAACCCCAAATCCTCTAATTTAACCAGCAAGGCTGGGGGTAATAAAAACCCCTATTAGGATTTACTGTTTGTTGTTCCCTATGTAAAGTGCACATAGTGCATTCGCTAGTTAAAGCGAAGTTACCCGCCACAGATTGGGGATCTCGTCCGGCATAGAACCCACTCACAAAGTGGGATTCTCGTCTCGGAACTTGTCACCTCACTCACAAAGTGAGGCGTTCTCCGGGTTTATAACCTATCACCACAAAGTGAGATATTGTTCCTGGTTTTTCCCTAGACAACAGCATATTTTTTTTAAATTTTGTGTTCAAGTGTTTAGCCATCTTTAATGTATTTTATGGCATATACTAAAAGAACACTGGGGGCTCAGAGTCATTAGTTACTAGTTTGCCTGTTAAAGTTAGCAAAAATTAACTTAGGTAATTATGTAACTGAAATTTACAAATAGTTTAAATGTTCACTGACAATAGGAAATCAAAATATATAATTGGCTAGGACAATTTTAATTCCCAAATTAATGGTTGCCCATAAGGTTAAGGATTTGTTAAAATGGATTGACAATTGCATTGCTATTTTTTTGATTCTGTGATTATTTGATTGATGCATATGTGATTTGCTTACTAACCCTCTGTTGACCTAATTTTCTGAGTCTTGTCTTGTACTCTATAATTTCAACAGCAATCATAGGTGATAATTTGCAAACTCCTTGTAAGGGTCACTACAGCTTAACCGAGATGGCAGCATATCATTCTCTATTGGGCAAGACCATCTCAGACTTTGCTGCTCATGAGGCAGGTTTGAGTGGGGCTGAGCTAGATATATATGTCTCTGATTTGTTGAATGCCAAATCTCAACTAGAAGCTAATGTAGGTGTCCAAGGGAGGGAAGTAGATTCTATAGATTGGTTTTTTAGAAGTATAGAAATGGGTCAGGCTTGCAAATTCACAGGTATTAAACTGCTAGAGTGTGTTGCAGAGAAGGTCAAGGAAGATTGGGAGTGGCAACTGGAGTGTGTCCAGATGGAACAGCGCGCACAAGCGAAAGGTTTTAAAGAGGCGGTTGAACATGCTCAGTGGAACCAGAAAGCCTTTGCTGGCGAGCCTTCCCGAGAGCTATGGATGTTCACAACCAAAAAGCCAGACACTTCCATGTCAGCCAAAAATGCACTTCCAAGTACAAGTATCAGTCACTGTACATCAGTAATTGAAGAAAGATCCCTTACCCCACCAGAATCTGGAAATGAAAACCCTGGTAGAGAATGTGAGATCCTTGGCAGCTGTCAAGAGATCAAAACTAGTGAGCCTGTAACTGC